TTCACCCTCCGAGGAGATGCAGTGCCTCTCTTTCAAAGCATCATCATCGCGTATTACATCCCCACAAACCCTCGATTTACATTCCTATCCCCCACTTTCCCAAGGTAAAGTTGTGGTTTTACACTTTTCTTCTCCTCCAAAGTGCTTGCACATGCGGTGTTCGTGTAAATGTCTGAATCCAATTTTCCTTCTTGCAGCCGGGACTTCTACGGAGGGAACGCCTAGGTCCAGCATTCAGGCCTCGCCCTCAATCGACCTCACTAGCGAATTCGCACGAGCCGTACAGAGCAATTCCTTTGGTGAAATTCGGTCCCGGGTTCATGATATTATTGGAGTCCATGAACGAGAACAAGTTGAGATTGTGAATGGAAATGGGGTGGTTGGGGGTGCCCACCAGTTGCTTTTGTCGCAGCTGCTGCAACCCAACCGGGAATCTGTTGAAGAAGCTTTGCGCCATGCCAAGCCCAACACTCTCACCCGCTTGGTCTCTACTTACTTTGATCACAGCGAAAATACCACCAACCGTTCCCTTGTGCTTTTCGGGACCCTGGGTCGTGCACGACTTCTGTATGCTGATATCGACGAGCTTCTTGATGTGTTGCCCGACGACCCTGATTCCTTTACACAATCACAGTGCAATAGGGCGTTCGATATTTTCCTTCAATTTGACCGTCTCGACAACCCTTTTCCTTGTCCTGGCTCGGATAACTTCATTGAAATGGACCGCTGCTTCTCCCAGCTCAAGCAGCAGCTTGAGCGCCGCCTCAACAGGTCACGTTCTAGAGTTCGCCTCCTGCACCGATCAACTGCTGCTTCTGCCGTTTGCTTAATCGGCACTGTCATTGCAGTTGCTATTACTACTGCATTTGTTGCAACACATGCCCTTGCTGCCATTGTTGCTACCCCCTTTTGTACTGCCTGTGTCCCTTGTGGTCTTAAGAAGAAAGAGCTTGCCCGTATGGCTCAACTTGATGCTGCTGCTATGGGAGTGTTTGTCCTTAACCATCATCTACGTACCGTTGACACCCTTGTTGTCAGCTTGTACAATGCTGTTGAAAGTGACAAGGACCTTATCCGACTTGGATTGGAAAGCGGCAGGGACAGGTATCTATTCCATGGGGTGGTGAAACAGCTTCACAAGAGCCGTCTCAGTTTTACTGAGCAGCTCAAGGATCTTGAGGAGCATATATGTCTATGTTTTAAGTATGTCAATAACGCCAGATCTTTGCTCTTCCAAGAGATTCATCTTCATGACTCATCCAATTCCTAGATGATTGTAGGCTGCTCTGTGGTCTCGTTTAGTGCCCCTCCTTGATGTGTATACGCCAAGAACTCACTATAACATGTTAATTCAACCCCAAAAAGACTCTGCTGGCCCTCCTTTTAAAATTGGGCAGTCAATTGCTTGTCTCGGTAATCATTGTAGCCAAGACACATGGTTAGTTCTTCAATATTCTATCTTTTCCCTATAATTTTATTTGTTTGTGCAAAGCTGGTATAGTTTCTCTGAAAAGTTAAGAAGGGATGATGTCGCCATGCAGTTTATCATTATGGCAGTGAATTGAAGATATGCGATTGTCTTTGAATTGTGTCACTGAGGAATATCAGATGGATTATACATGTTAGTGATTGCAAGTTTTAATAAGTTGAGTCTAACCTTGTCCCTTTCAATGACAATTGGTGGTGGTTTCATGTGCTTTTAATAACTTTCTTGACATGATGAGAATTTCTCTGAACTTTTCCTGGTTAGCTTTTCTGACAGTCTTTCTTCCTTTCTTTCAATTTTTTTTTTTTTTTGTTGCTTTGGTAGTGATGGTAATGTTAATTGGTGGCAGTTAGATTCAGAAGTATTGTACATGGACGTGCAAGCAAAAACATTCTTTGGAAAAATCTTTGTTTAATTTGGTAGTGGTTCTAGA